TTCTGTGACATGCAAGCCTGTGTACTTATTTTATTTAATCCTTATGATATTTCTATGAAGAAGTTATGATCCACTATTTAGACACAGGAAAAATAAGCTTCAGGATGAGGTTAATAAACTTGCCCAAGATCTCAAAGCTATTAAGTGGCAGAGCTGGGATTCAAATCCAGGTCTGTTGATTCCAAGGCCAATATTCTACCCTATATTGCTACACTCCACTACTTTCCCAAAAGGCTAGGTTTCAAAGTCCCTTGTTATCTACAAACTTGATCAGCACACCACCTAGTCCTTACTCTGTGGCCCCGAACTAAACCTTCCAGCTACTATATAATATTATATACTTACTTTACTTCAAAGTAACAAGAGCCTACTTAGGCATAGTTATACAATAAGTAACAAATTTATATAATATTGTCATCCAGCCCACATTTCTCTATATTGAAAATCTTCCTCTCTCCACTCAATTAAAGACTAATTTTCTCTTACCATTAATCAAAGTTAAGTCTGGAAAATGACTTAGATTCCATGGACAGCCTTTTAAAATTAAGTATTAATATTGTCAATTATGCATTTAAACAATATTTTGAGTAAAATTTGGCAATATCTATTAAAATATAGATGACAACAATTCTACTTCCAGTAATCTGTCCCATAAAAACACGTTTACAAAACTGCACAAAAATATACATACAAATATGTTATTATAACATTATTTGTAATACATAAAATAGTGCACACAATATCAATGTCTGGGAATAGAAAAGTGTTCCAAAAATGATGGGCATCAATACAATAGACTACTAAACAATTAAAAAAAAATGAGAACGATTTATAGGTACTAACATGAAAAAGAAACAAAAAATTGTTAATAGTAATACTCTAGTGAAGTATTAAAAATAAAACACACTGACATGGCCCTTGGAATCTCTTCAGGGCTGCAGCCTGATTGCCCCCCTATCCTCTCCACATATACTCATGCATGCATTCAAACACTTAAGTGCTTTCCCTGTGCCAAACAACATACTAGGCCTTGGGGATAATACCACACAGAGTCCCTACCTCTGTGGAACTTAGTCAAAAAGGGAAGCAATAAAACTAAAGTATGAGAGTAGTATGGTGGTTAAAGTCTTACAGAGTGCAAGTGAGAACACAAACTAAATCTAGCCTTGAAGAACAGCAGCTGGAAAGGAGTGCCAGCACTTTCTCCTGAGGGATGACTATCCATAGAATGAATAATGCCATAGGCCCTATCCAGTTAAGCTGACTCCATAGCCTTTGAAATCCAAACAGCCTGTGATGCATATGGTGAGCAATGAAAAGAAGGGCCTCTCATTTCATGAAGTCAGGAAGCACTGTGACAACTGTGGAAGCCGATGATCTTGTAATATCCCTTTGATAAAGCCAGAGTGGAAACAAGGACCACCAGCTTATTGGGGAACTGGTTCAGGAATTTGAGAAAGCAAATGCAAATCCTATGCCACATCTCAAGATGAAGGAGTTGATGAATAAGGACCTCAACAGTCTCTCAAGTAACTTTCACAAACTTCTGTACAGTATGACTGTCAAGCAGAATTTATCACAATTTATGACATAAAAGGAATCATCAAGTCCTTCACTTTCAAACAAGTGAAAAGAGAGACACGGAATACCAAAAACAGAAATTGCCACAATCTGGCCTAAAATCCCACGTGTTCACAAAAAGAAGATTGAATAGGTTGCTACAAAGAACATTCAACAGAAAAATAATTTTCCGAGCTTCACTATAATTTCTTTCATTTCTTCGCAAAGCCCTCTCCTTCCGTATTTCTAGCCCCTGCTCCTTAGAAAAACTGGTGGTGCATATTTACATATTTTTTAAACCAGTTCTGTTCATAAAGGAAATTCCGAACTAAAGAGAAATCAAAATACATAAGGTGTACATTATCTTGGAAAAAGAAGAGCTGGCTTCTCTACAATTAAAGCATCTTTGAGTAATCAACTTCTAATGCTCAGTATATAAAAGAAATGGTACAAGAATCATAACCTTTGCTACTTTAATCAGTGTTTCCATTTTAGTCGACTATTGGTTATCTTATTCTGCACCAATGAGAGCACAAATGTTACAATGCTCTTCTGCCATACATCAACAAAAATTCCCCAAAAATGCTCCTCAAAGCACCTCTCCATCTCCTCTGCAATTAACAATTTCTAAAAGCAATTTATCGTCCCTCTTTTAAGCTAATTTCTCCATGGTGAACATAAAATGTTTTAGAGTCATTTAGAGATCACATTTTTAGTCTGTGGTCCTGGTTTGCTGCTATTGAGCTCCGGCAGGTTTCAGTTTTGGTTTCTCGGTATAAAGACTAGGCTCTAAAATTTTATAAGTCACCTTTTAGCACTAATACTCAATAAAGCATACTGTGCACACAGCCAAGTGGTAAGCACAGTGTTGTGGAAAGAGTAAAGTTAAACAGACCTGGATTCAAATTCCCTCTCACACCTATGAGTTTTGCATGAGGTAAATTTCTTATTTAGAGAAAGAGGTTATTTGCTACCTATTATGACCAACACACGAAAGAATATAAATAATGTATAAAAAGTGCCTAGCCCTCAGTAAGTGATCAACTGCCACTTATTAGCAAGTTTTACTCTTGAAAATTCTTCCATCTTTAATACTTCTTAGTTTCTAAACAGACTTCACTGATTAGACAGGAATTTAATTTTTAATAAATTAGGGGGTTAATTCATTCAAACACATTCGTAACTCCTTCATGCACACAGGTTGACAATTTAGAACTGGTGGAAAATGTATCCAGTGGTGCACACAGTTTAACAAGTGTATGTACCTTGTGTACCATACAAAACTGAAACAGAACTTCATCATAAGTGAAGAACATAGCCTTACCACAATGTTCATGACCAAATAAAAGATTAGCTACAAAAGAACCCCCATCATTTTGCTAGGGGATACTGAAATCCATCTTGGTAGGTCAGAGTTCTAATAACTGTTGAGCAAAATTAAGGGAAGACAATATAATTGAGTAGAGTTCGCTCCAAAGAATGTGAGGTGTGCTTTCTGATCACTGAAAGTCCAAGACTTTCAATTGAGGAAAGGAAAGTAGACGTCTCAAAAATCTTTCAGTATATTTATAATATGTAAATAATCACGAAGCAAAACATTTGCATAAATCATGAAAAACAGCCAAAGAGAGTAAACCCTCAGATCAAAACTAGTCACATGCTCATAAACTGTAGCACTCAGACTGCTCAAATATAACAATCACATGGCTCCGATCTGTCAACTCTGACACTTGCTCCTTGGGAGAGGGAGCCTTCCAAAAGAAAGTTATAATCATCACACATCTAAAGATGGTGCACGAAGCAGCATTATTCTAGTACTATAAAGCAGTGAACATATTTTGACTTGCTTAATTTAAAATTTTTTCAGTATTAACGCCCAAGAACATTTACTTTTTTTTTTTACATGGTAATGTGTGTGGATATATAAATTGATCCTTTCTTCACATGAAAATAAATTTTAGCTATACTCTATCTTCCCCCACGTAAGAGCCAGTGCCTCAAAGGCCCTCCCCTAACTTTGCTGCTCCAGCTTTTACTGTGTTTCTTAGGTGAAAAATTCTTCCCTTAAACATGGAAAGAAAAACTACACAGTAAGGACTCAAAGAGGCTATATTAATTGTACAGCAAAATCACTGCTCTGTAAAGTCAAGATTATGAAGGGTTCTCTTGGCTGAGCTTTTTAGAGCTACCAACAAGAAGGCGCAATCCGGGGCTTCGAAGTTTTCCGTGTCACCGCTGGCGGACCGATGGATAAACTAGAAAAGGTGATCAACGTACCTGGAGGAAGCTGCAAATTAGCAGGCAACTGGATTGTTGTGTTGGGGGCTTTCACGGCGACTATCTGAGGAGCAGGCAGCACAGGGCCGCTGCTGAGTTTAGGAAGAGCACTGACAGGAGCCACTTTGGTCACCAGGGTCCCCACAGGGGACCGCAGGGGCTGGGACACCGTGGGCTCCACGCAGACACTGACAGGAGCCTTAGTCACGGCGCCTAGGGGCACCGGAGTGCTCTCCACCCGGATCGGCAGAGCCCCGGCAGGGGCCATGGTCAAGGTCCCGGAGGCGCTCACACCAGCGGGAGAAGCGGCGCCGGCCGGTTCCGTAAGGCCCGCGGGCATCCCCCAGATGGATTACTGGCAGCTGTCGCGCTGCCGTTCCGGGAGCAGGAGCAAGCCGAGGCTTGACAAGCAGCAGCTGACTTCAGGGAAGCTTCGGCTCCACAGCATCGCTAGGGAGAGGCTCAGGGGCCGCGACACATAAGTCAATGATAGGCGCCAGCTGGAAGCGGGACCCGCGCGCGTTAGGGATCTTCCTCCCGTCCGCGTGGCCCCGCAGGCAGCAACACCTGCTCCGCCGCTCGTCGCTTCCTCAGCGGCGGTCCCACGTGCGCCGGCTGAGCCCGGCGCCTCAGCCTCGGGTCCCGCTACAGCCCAGCTTGCCTGCGCGGCTCCCGAAAGGGCGTCACTTTGGCTCCCACCTCCCAACCTAACTCTACGCCGCGGCTCCCCCGCCAGAAAGTTCAAAACCACAAACCCGGAGCTCCCCAAAGCCCCCTACGCACGCTCGGCACTGCCCTGCCCTGCAACCACGCCAGCCATGTTTATATAGCCACGCGGAGACCTCGCGCACGCGCACAGGCTGCCGCCACCGCCCCGGGCTTTCCCCGGAACCCGGCTACGTAATTGGCCACAGACTGGAATCGCGCTCGTGACGTCAATGAGGACGGCTCCAGAGGGCGTTAGAATCTTCCCCAGAATCCCGAGGAAGGAGGTGCGAGTTGCCAAAAATCTACCACGTGGGAGCGGCGAACCGCACTTGGTAAACTGCGGCATCCGCGTTCTTGGTATACCCAGTTGTGTGACCCTTAAAAAGCCAGACTTCTCACAGGCTTCTATTTTTTAAGCAAAAAATGTGGAGGACTGATTTTGGAGAACGGTAACTCATAAAAACTCAGTCACGCTTCCTCAGTGGTTTTCTGTGGGCTTTGCTCTAAAGCGTAGCTAAAATTAGCATTACAATTGACATTGTGAAATTTTCTTATTTTTTTTTCTTTTAAATGTTTAAGAATAGTGTATAGTCTGTCAGATGTGCCCATTTTAGTGTAATTTTAGATTTGAGCTGCCCCCAAGGAAAATCTATTTTTGGGGGGTGCTCCTGTAGATGTCTCTATCACCTCTAAACTTATATAAATTATTTGTTTACGTGTCTATCTCCTTGAAAACTGGGATCGTCTTTTGATTTCTACCTCCTCAGATTCTAGCACTTAAATCTTAAGTGCAATCCTAAATATTCTTTGAATAAGTTAAAAGTATTTGCTGAATGAATCAATAATATAGTCCCATATCGAGAAATTTGCCCCTTGAAGATCTCTACAGAGAAGATGTCTTGATTTCAGGCTATTGTCATAATAATATGTTTGTAGGAACTGATACTAAACCGAAGATTTTGCAGCAAGGAAGCAACCTGACGTTTACAGCTTCTAGTTTTCTACCTCTCTTTAAACTCCAAAGGACAAGGTCTCAGTTCTCACACGTCAATACTTTTATTGTCTTCCCACACGCATCTAAACAAGGCCAAATCAATCGCATCTTTCTTCATTCCGTTAAGACTTGCCTGTTCATTTAACTTCTAGAAAACTCCTCAAAGTGGAATTGGGGGCGGGGGTAGAAAACTGAATTAATTGAGTACCTCTTGTATGCTGGTCACTAAGCGATACAGTTCCTTGTTTCTTCTTTTTTCTTTCTTAACAACCACCTCCCTTTACTGACTTAAAAACCGCATTTAAAAGAGGAATTTATCCAAGAAGCTGAATTCAAAACAGTCTGTATGATGCCAAAATGCATCTCTTTTCCACTACTCCATAAATGTCTGATTCATTATATATCCCACACTGCCCCTAGCAAAATGCCTTGTTCATAAAAGGTATTTAATAAATATTTGCTAAGCGAATGAATTAAACGGAGCCATGCAACATTTTTAGTGACGGGGATTTGAATCCCAGATCTGCTCTTTACCAGCTGGACAAATTGTTTAGCCTTGGTGTTTTTCTCTCCATATAGCATAGTTCAATAAATACTTGAACTATGGAAGGAAGACTCACAGTTCTCAGAGAACTCTCCATTTTCAAACTTTCACTAATTGCCCCCCACACACTCATATACATAGTTTAGGTATGTAAATAACCTCAATCAAGTTACAAAGAGGTTTAGCAGAGTATATATATTTTTTCTTTAAGGTGACCTAGAATATTTCTCTAATAATTGTTTGCTTGATGGGAACTTTAATTTTCTAGTTGCAAAGAATGTACTGCTCCTTACTCAGCACAGGTAACTACAGTCCTGAATTTGGAGTTTAGTAATTATGTTTACTACATTTCCTTCCTATAGAAACATATTAATAAAGCAAGATATGTAGGAAGGCAAAATGCATTTTATCCCTCTATTTATGTAAAAAAAGAAAAAATAGAAGAGGAGTTAAGGGCATCTCAAGGATTCTGGCCAGAGCAAACTGGAAGTATGAGTTGCTGTTAGTTGGAATAGGGACCACTGCTGTGGGGATTGGGAAATCAGGTGCTCGATTTGGATTTTAATTTGAAATGCTTATTAATATAAAAATAGAGTGTGGAACAGGTAGCTGGGTATACAAACCTAGAGTTTAAGGAAGAGGTCCTGGCTAAATACATACATACATATGTGTGTGTATATATGTGTATGTGTGTGTGTGTGTGTGTGTGTGTATCTATTAATACACACACACATATATAATATACATATGCACACACATATATATCACAGCATATAGATGGTATTTTTAATGCCATTGGACTCAATATGATCATGGAGAAAGGGAGTAAAAATGAAGAGAAGAGGCTGGAATCCCAGGTACTCTAATATTAAAGTTCAGGTTGATGGGGTGGGGAGGACCCAGAAATAAGAGATAGAGAATGATCTACATTGATAAGAGGAAAATCAGGAGAATGTGGAGTCCAGAAAGCCAAGAAGTTACCAAGTTCCATATGAAGAAAGTGATCAGTTGTGTCAATTGCAGCTGATAAGTAAAATAAAGACTGGTGAGTGCCCATTAGATACAACAACAAAATGCAGAGGTCACTGGTAACCTTGACAAGAGAAATCTCTGTGGAATGTGGAGGTAAAAGCCTTATTAGAATATGTTCAAGAAAGAATGAAAGGAAACAGTTTAAAGAGTATGTGAAGTTTGATGTAAAGTGGAGCAGAAAATGGGCCAGTAGCAGGAGATTAAAAACGGTTTTCTCTATGATAACAGCTTGCTTACAAGCTGATGGTAATGACTTGATAGGGAAACTGCTGACAGAGGAATAAGGAGGGGAGACTTGCTAGAGCCATGTCCTTCAAGGCAAAAAGGGATGAAATTTAGTGCACAAATGCAAGGGTTGAGCTTTGATAAGAGAAAAAGACCCTTCATCTATGGCAGCAGAAGGGAAGGTGGAGTTCTGAGCCATAGATACTGGTAGGTAGATATGTGTGACAGTGGAAGCTTGTGAAAATTCTCTTCTAATCTTTCTCCATTCTAATCCAATCCATATCCTTCACTGTTTCTAGGTTACTTTTCCTAAAATGTCCAAGATGTAAAATTAGGAATTGACCTTGAATTTTCTCTCTTTTTCGCCCCTATTTCAACAGTCATTAGATCCTGTCAGCCTGGGAATCATATCTATAATATCTCTGGAATCTATTGACTTCTCCCATTCTCATGGTCACTCTTTTAGATCATACCCAAGCACACTCACTTAAATTATGCTAACTGGGCTCCATTCATGCTTCAAGACTTGCTCCTTATTATTGTTCTCTAGACTGCAATCAGAGAGTTGTTTATTCAGAATGTTCCTGTAAGTGTTAACATTATAATTAGTATCATCATTCTTTGATTTAGGAGTATTTTTCTTTCTTATTGAGATAAACCTGAAAAGAAAATAATTTCTACTTTTAACTATTTATAATTCCATCATTCTGGCTGAATTCTCATTTTTGCATATTACTTTCAAATCCTTGCCTATTATGTTTGCTGTTATGTGAAGTATATGTATGATTTTGTATATAATTTATAACTTTACCTAAATAATTTTCCATTTAAATTGGGTCACTTGCATAATTTCATATTTCTAAAATGTCCTCATGATTATCATTTTATGCGACATTTATTAAACAAGAACACATAATCATTTGTATGTATAATTACAAATTGTGATAAGTGCTGCAAAAGAAAAGAACAAGGTGCTTTAAAAGAGGATAATGGACAGGATCTAATTTAGCTAGAGAGCTAGGGAAGTGCTCCAGGAATTAAAAGAATGCCCATGAGACTGGTACAGAATGAACTAGAGAAAGAGTGGCTGGAATGACTTTGGAGAGGGGGGCTTAACTCCCATCAGGGTCTTCTGCGATGTGTCAATGAAAGCAATTGAAATATTTTAAGCAGAGGAGTAAAATGAGTTTATTTACATTTTCACCTTTTTATTTGGAAATAATTTCAAACCTAGAGTTGCAAGAAATATTACTTACAACTCCCATATCCCCTTCATCTTGATTTACCAGTTTTAGCATTTCGTTCATTTTAGCACCTGCTCTTTCTATATATGTGTATGTTCATATATTTACACACTCGATTCTCCTTGTTATTTGCAGATTCCATATTTGCACATTCACCTACCTGCTAAAATGTGTTTGTACCCCCCAAATCAATACTCACAGTGCTTTCAAGGTCTTTTGCACATATATGCAGAACAATGAAAAATTTGAGTTGCCAAACGTGCACATTCCCAGCCGAGGTTGAACAAGGTGGCATTCTGCCTTCTTGTTTTTGCTCTCATACTGTATGTAAATGTCCTTTTTACAGTTTATTTGGTGCCATGTTTTTCATATTTTTGTGCTTTTTGTTGGTGATTTTGCATTTAAAGTAGCCCCCAGGTATATTGCTGAAGTATTGTCTAGTGTTCCTAAGCACAGGAAGACTGTGACGTACCTTATAGAGAAAATGTATGTGTTAGATAAGCCTCATTCAGGCATGAGTAATAAGTGCTGTTGGTTAATGAATCAACTGTATATGTTAAATAAAGCACCTTTAAATAAAAACACAGATAAAACCAGGTTATATATTGATGGGCAGGAAAAAAATGATATGACTAGAGGCTTATAGGAACCTAACCCTGTATGTCCCCTAAAAGAATGGTTAAGTATTTATTAATTCAGTTTTGGCTTAGAATATAACTACCACAAATAATGGGACTCAACTGTATATATACTTTTTTCCCTTGAAAGTAAATTGCAGACATGCCTCTTTATCCCTAAATATTTCAATTTATATTTCTTATAAACAAGGACATGCACTTACATAACCACAGTACAATTAACAAAATTAGGAGATTTACATTGATACAATTATTTAGTCAACAGATCTTTTTCAATTTTTGCTAATTGTCCCAATAATGTCCTTTATAGCAGATTTTTAATCTAGTCTAGGATCCAGTCCAGTATCATTTTTTGCATATAGTTTTTATTTTAGTCTCCTTTAATCTAGAACAGTTCCTCAACCTTTGTTTTTCATAATATTACCATTTTTTAAGGGAAT